ACAAGTTTCTTAAGTTTTTTTTTAAAAATTAAACAATTCTCAGAAAGGCACTCTATAAGGAGAAGACGATTTCATTTTACCACACAAGTGATATATGTGACATCACTATATTTTAAAACCCTGCAAAACAAACAGTGGATGGCTCAGTTTTCTCTCTTTTTTTTCCCCAAAAGCAAACTAACAATCTAGAGTATTCTAATAAACTGCTGTTAGGTCTAGGAACCTTTTTGGCCAAATTTTTCTTTCTCTGTCGCTGCTGGTTTGCTAATAGATTTCTTTAGTTGTAGAATTATAATTAGAAGACAGTTACCACTTTGCATAATCAAACTGTAATTGCTATTTGGGTGAAATCCAACCAATTTAAGCATCAGTACTTCCAAAAAAACAATGCCTGGCAAAAAGAGAATAACAAATACCATGCTCTAATGATCCAGGTTATCTAATAATGTTTGTCTAATGGTTGAGGTTTTTTCCTTTTCTTTTTTTTTTTTTTTTGAGGCTGGATAGGAAGCGATACTAGAATTGTCAATGTATTTTAAGGCATCGCAGTTGTAACTGACAATAAATGAATGTGCTCTGACAAACACTAATGGTGGTAATAAGAAACAAAAATTCACTTGGTGTCAGAAACCTACAGGTTTTAAGTCTGTCCCTTGTTAAATTTGTGCTCTAGTGGCTGAATTTGTTTCCAGCGCCCAGAGAATTTCCAGGCATACACATGTCTTGCTCTAGAAGCCAAAAAGCTCAGTTGCAGGCCCTGGCTCTGTAGGATCAATGAACACAGCTAGGTTGCTAGCTGCCCACCCTCCTGTCCACTTTCTGACCTGGTTCTTCAGCCTTCCTAGGAACTTTGTAAGTTTTTCAGAAAATTCCACCCTTTGTTAAATCAGCCAGTCATTTCCTGTTGCTTACGCCCAAGAAACCTCACATCTACTTCAAAAATGAATCTCAAGTCTGTCCACTTTTCATCTCAGCTGTCACCACTCTAGCCCAGACTCTCATGACATCCTTTCTGCACCAAGGCCGTAGCTTCTCGACTGGTCTCCCTGAATCCATCCTTGTCCTCTTCCAACCCAGTCTACACATAACAGATCACGTGCCCATTCCTAAACCCAAAAGGAGTCATGATCATTCTTCTCCAAAAAATTATTCTCACTGACCTAAATATATAATTAAAAACTCTTTAATGCAGTCAGTATAGCTCGACAGGATGTGGCTCCTGCTTCCCTCCCCAACCTCGTGCCCTGCGGCTCTCCCCCATTCTCTGGGCTCAGCCCCCCAGCCTTCTTCTCACCCCGGGGCTTCCCTGCATGCTCTGCTCTACGTAGAACGCTTCCTTTCCTCCATGGTCCACCTGCCTAGCTCTTCTTCACTCTTGAGGTGTCAGTTAAAATGTGCTTCCTCAGAGAGACCTTCCTTTATGCCCCAATCTAAAATAAGTCTTCCTATTTATGACCCTCATGATACCCTGTACATTCCATCTATTAAAATTATCAGAATTTATAATTATGTATTTATTTGGGGGTTGTTTAGAATCTCTTTCTCTCTCTCTTTCTCTCTGTCTCCCCTCAGTTCTACGAGGGCGAGAAATATGTGTAATTTATTCTACCTTGTATTCCAGTATCTGGAACATAAAATCCATTTAATTAATAGATTTGTTGAATAAATTAAAAACTGAAATGGTCTTCTGGTGATTGAATACTAGTAGACATTTCATCAGGTCATTCTCATTCATATCATCTTCCTGGTCTTATTGGAATTGAATAACATGGCACTGTTTGTTCTCATTAAAAGTCTTATCTGTGTATGTAGTTCTTGTTAATAGATGTCATCCACAAACTATTGGCAAGGCATATAACTGGCTTGTTGTTGGTTGTTAGTCAATTAATAGAATTAGACTCAGAAAGACATAACTCATCTTCTCGTCTGTAATGAGAACTCAGTATTCATGAACGTTCTCATAATGTTAAGCAAGAAACTTTTTTTTTCTAAATACTTACAGTGATAACCCTTAGAAACAGGAAGAAGGAAAAGAAAACAGGTTACCATTCATCCCATTTTTCTCGATTCTATCCAAAGTGGATCCATGGTTGCTGATGGTGGTCCAATAACCCTGTGGAACCTACAAGCAATTACTAAAGCTTATTTTTAAAGCTGTGGGGTGCCAGCCATTGTTTCTGACTGTTCCAAAGATTTCCTCCCTTTATTCATGAGAACAGACAAAGGCATATGATCCAGGCTGGTCACAGTGCTCTATGCCCCGGCAATACTGGTTGGTCCCCGAATGGCTCTGACAAAAGCTGGGATCATCAGAGTCCTTGCTGGAAAATTTTTGGTGAAGAGAGAATGGAAGATAACCTCTTGCTTTGTGGCTCCCACTGAACCTCTTGCTTCTGCTTAGGTGCTAAAAGGTTAAAAAAAAAAAAATCTGGTACCTCCTCTGTTCATCTTCTCTACCAGGTAGAGAAAGCCATTCATAATGCTGAGAGAGTAGGGGGTGGGCAAGGAGAAAGACTTAATGATATCAATATGTAGATAAGTACAAATTTTTATTTAAATTTTTCAAAGGATAACTGACTATACTATGAAAGCTTTAAAGAAGAGTTAATAGTGATTATTTACAAACTCTTCAAAAAAAAAAAAAAGAAGAGAAGGGAACACTTCCCGACTTAGTCTCTAAAGCCAGAGAAAGATATTATAAGAAAAGAAAACTACAGGTCTGCATTGCCTATGAATATAGATGCAAAATCTCAACAAAATTCTAGCAAACCAGAGCAAAGAACAAATATCTGTGTGCGTGCACGTGTATGTATGCATGTGTGTGCATGTTTGTGTAGGTATGTGGGTTTTTTTAATTAAGGCATAGTTGGTTTACAATAGTATATAAGTTTCAGGTGTACAACACAGTGATTCACAAAATTTAAAGGTTATACTCCATTTATAGTTATTATAATATTGTCGATGCTCCCTGTGCTATACAATATATCCTTGTGGCTTATTTATTTTAAAAAAGTGCTAGCAAACCGAATCATGCAATAGATAAAAAGGATGATACTCCACAGTGATATTTATCCTAAGAATGCAAGATTGGTTTAATTCTGACAATCAATTAATGTAATATAAAATGTAGGATAGAGTAAAGGGCAAAAAGTACTCGATCGTCTCAACAGACACAAAAAGCATTTGACATGAATTCAATACCATTTCACTAGAAAAACACTCAACAAACTGAGAATGGAAGGAAATTTTCTTAACCTGACATAGGGCAGCAACCAAAATCCCACAGTTACTGTCATACTTAATGCCAAAGACTGACTGCTTCTCTCACAAATCAGGAACAAGACAAGATGTCCATGGATATTCAACACTGTACTAGAGGCTTTAGTCAGGGTAACTGGGTAAGAAAGAGAAATGAAAGGCATCTAGATTGAGAAGGAAGAAGTAAAACCATCTCTATTCACAGATGACACGATCTTGTATGTAGAAAATCCTAAGGAATCCACAAAACCTATTAGAACTAATAAGTAAATCCATCAAGGCTGTAGGATCCAAAATCAGTATACAAAAATCAGTTTTATTTCTATTCAGCAGCAATGAAAAAAATCTGAAAATAAATTAAGAAAATTTCATTTACGGAAGCAACAAAAATAATAAGATATGAATAAATTTTTTTAAAGTACAAAACTTGCACTCTGAAGGTGATGCCTTTTTAGACACAATAGCAAAGACAGGAAAAAATTAGAAAAGCAAATAATCCTAAGTAGTGAAACAGAAGTAATGAATATATGAAAATTTTCGATTAAAAAACTAAGGAAAGTAAAGAGGTCTATAATTTTACAAAGTCTGACAAACTTGGTAGCAGAATAGAAAAATACGTAATTTTCCAGAGAAGATGCTTTTGATTTCACACAGAAGGAAATGAAATTCTAATTACGAAAAGTGAATAGGTAAAAAAGGAACATTTATTCCTTTTTCAGAGATACTGTTTTCCTAGGTAGCTGTCAGAAACCGCTCGAACAAATGCAGAACTTTTCAAACAATTGCTTATGAAGTTGCATTAGAAATGGGTTTGGGTAACGAAATACATTTCACACATTAAAAACAAGCAAGCTCTCGTGCTACAGCATTTCCTTTCTTTTCTTCATTCAACAAATATTTACTGAGCCCCTAGTATGTAAACAAACATTGTTCCAGTGCTAGGGACACAGCATGAATGAGATGAACTAAAATCACAGCCAACGTGGAACTGACTTTCTAGAGGAGATAAATGACAGGCAAGAAAACATATCAAGGACTAGCATGCAAATTCTACTACGAGTCCACTGTCATTCAGCTATAATATTATCCTTTGGTTCAGTGCTGCCAGATAGGGTTTAAGTAAAATTACGATGTGGTAGAAAGCTTTTGATATTTCAAACAAACACACTGGGCCCAGTTCTAAGCTGTAACTGTCTTAAAAGGATTACCATGATATAAACCAGGGATCATCAAACTTCTTCTGTGATGAGTCACATATAAATATTTTAGGCTTTGCAGGGCACCTATGATCTATGTCCCATATTCTTCATTTTTTTTTAACCCTTTAAAAATGTAAAACTACTCTTATCCGGCAGGCCAAACAAAAACAGGCCAGAGGCTGAATCTCTCCAACCGGTTCAACCAAAAGATCTGAGTACCCTTGCTTTTAAGTGGCTATGCTCAGTCCTACATTTCATGTTTCTTTTATACTTTTTTATATTTATTCTTTTGCTCTTTGTTATTCATTTGCCAAAATCGAATAAAACATTCTTTTCTAGGGCTACAGCAGTTGGAACTGCTGTAGCCTCGAAGTCAGTTCTGAAGAGCACGGCCACCTGCTCTATTTCACACAAGCAACAGAAGAAAGTTCTTGGCAGAAAACCCTTCTTAAGTCTATATGCTTGAGAGAGACACAGCGGAGATAGTACGCGCTCTCCCCTGACTTCCTGGGCAGACACACACAAGGTCTAACATCCCCTTACCTTGCTGGAGGAACATCGATGTTGGAAGAAACAACTTTTCGTTTTTGCTCAAGGAGACAGATGGAGCGAGTGTTTTCTTTCTCATGGTCAAGCACTCGGTTGGCTTTTTTGGTGTCTGCTGTTTTCACATCTTCCTCCATGGCCAAGGGGAACAGGTGCTGATGAGACATCTTTTTACTAGAGTCACGTTTTAAGTCCTCTGGTTGAAATGTGAAGGTCATTTCCCGCTTAACGCTCCCCACCTGTGAAGTGAAACGCAAAAATTCTCACTCACCCAAAATATCAGCTTTGCCCAACTAAGTGCAGACGGCTGTCCTTGTTCATCTTGAAGATTTCATAGTTTAAAAGGGAAAAACGTATCATAGAAATAAAATAACTGACATTATAAAGTAAAATACACCCAACGCGCCACCTGTTATAATGCAAACAGACATCACACACCCAAGAGAAGCCTTTCAGATGAGCAAAACCTTTGAAGGCTCGAAAGCATAAGACTTCCAAAAAAAAAATCTAAAAATTTAAAACATTATTGTCTCTCTTCTACAACTGAGAAAACTCAATAAAGCAAATAAATTCTTGAATATTTCATGCTGATTATGCTTAATAGAAGAGAACTAATGCTCATGTTCAATCAAGCCTTATGTCTTTGACTATGAATACTGATCTTCAGCACACTCTTTAGTTCACCAAGAATTTTTTATCCTTAATCTAGCTATAGCAGTTAAGATCTTAGTGAAATCCTTTCATTAGTTTGACAATTAAAAAGTCATATTAATTTTTCTTAACATTTTTGATGAAATGCAATGATGATTAAAGTTTAAGATGAATATAAAATTAAACCTCAGGGAAGTAAATCTGGTTATTTCAGAATTGTAATGACTGAAAAAGGAGACTAAAGTTTAAAAAAAAGGTTTTTGTAAGGCTATGGGTATCGTAAATGACGTTTGGAGCGAACTTGTTAAAGTCCTAGGTGTGCCAAGAAGAACCAGTCGATCTGGTAACCAGGAGCCTCATTTATCAGTGGAGCACACTTGAAAATATGCACGTCTGTAAGACATTTCACAGGTCCACACGACAGCCTCTCCCTTTTGTGGAGTTAGTGTGTGGAGTCAGCAAGTCTTCATTTCACCCACTTGTATAGAAGATATGCTTGTTTGTTTCATTTTAATTTTAGGTAGGAGGAAAAGCACAAAGAATTCCATCAAATAGAATTATAGTTAGGGTCACAAACATAGTGTAGTTTCAGAATAAAACATGTGTGTTCAGTAATAGCAGAGATGGGCAAAGCATGATATCAATGACTAGAAATTCTCAGATTAAAAGAAAAGTCTGTGGTGTGTGTGTGTTGGAGTCACAGAATCTGCTCACAAAAGTATCTTCCCGGAGCCCAGGGATGACTCGCGCTTTGGGGTCATCTTGGCTGGAATGTATCTTTCACGTGAACACAGAACTCTGTGCCGAGCTCCCGGGTCTCCACGACCTGCACTTGTCAGGGCGGAGAGATCTTCCATGGAGTTCCTGCCAGACCTTGGCCCAGCTCCACCGGCAAATGGTCAGCCACTCTGGTCTTGTAACTCATTCAAAAGTTACCATATTTCTTAGGATGCATGAATTAATGAAGTACAATTAGAGTCCAAGAAAACTGAGTGCTCTGAAGAGCTAACTGTTCCAATGACATCAATCTCAATAGAAATGAGTAAGAAAATGTCTCACATTTCTAAAATGCAACACGTTTTTAATAAAAAATACAGTTTGGAAAATTGACTGATGTAATTATAAATATTTTAAATATCCATCCCTAATCACTTTCAATGTAACATTTTCTGTCTGGAGGTGGAAGTGAAAAGAAGTGATTTTCTCACTTCTGCAACAGCTCGGTCCCAGCCTGTGTTACAACAGGCATATGCTAAACATCAGGCATTAAAGATAAAAACAAAGATCTGGTCTGATGATTATAAATAGTTTCTCCCTGAGTGTCAAGTATTACATTAATTAAATATTTAAGTAGTCATTAGTATTAAGTTGTAGCAATAACTCACATCCACACCTCCCTTGGGGCCAACTGGACTGCTTAAGTGAATTCAATCCAAAGAGAGGTGGGGTTGGGGGAGAATATTATAGGAAATTTAGCTTTTAGATTCAAAAATTTCAGACAGAAACCCAGCAAATTCATACAAAGTAGAATAAATTTCCTATAGAAATAATGTTATAATTGTATGTCATGCTCTTAGCCAAGACTTCATAATAAAATAAATTATAATAATATTCAACAAAGTAAACTATAAATCACCCCTAATATATTCTAATATAAAATTAATCTCTCAATAGTAATCAAGAAATTTTAGCAATGTAATGAATTACAAAGACTATTTTTTTTAAAGTGGAATTAAAATAAGTTGGAAATAACCAAAGAGGATGAAATAAACGTGAGGATGAGTAGATTTTAGAGACTCTGAGTCATTTTTTGGAATGTTTGTAAGACTGGTGGAAGGAATGGGTGACTGGTGTAGATATTCATTATATCCCTATGCTTTAAAGTTTACACACACATATAGAAAATGTTGTTTTTAATGTTCTTTTACTCATATCAGATATTATATTTAAAAGATTTTTAAAAGGAGAGTTCACAGGGGAGAAGAGAGTGGAGAGAGTAGCTGAAGTCAAATCTTGAGACGTGGGCTCAGAAATGACCCAGACAAACAGGGTGGTGGCTGGAGAGGATGCTGGACAAGGGAGAATGTTCTAAGGTGGGAGGTAACAGAGCTTGTCTGAAGGCGGAGGCAGGACGGAAAGAAAGGGATGAGGAAGGGCTTGTGGCAGCAGTACATGGAGGCAGCGCCAACATCCAGCTATTATACCCCTATTAGGTTAGCAGCAGAAAGCAGCTGAAGGAAGACAGGATCCCATTTATATGAGATTTCCAGAGAAGGCAAATCTATGAAGACAGAAAGCAGATGAGTGATCGCCTGGGGCTGGGATTGAGAACAGAAACTGACGGCAAATGGGAACCCGAGAACTTTTGGCAGTGATGGAAATGTTCTAGAACTAGACTGAAGTGATTTGTACAATGCTATGAATTTATCAAAAAATCACTGAACTGTATTACAATGGGATGAATATTATCTATCGTATGTAAAACTATACCTCAATAGTACTGTTGATTAAGGAAGAACGAACCAGATCAGGAGTAACTAGTGTGGAAGGTGTATTCCCAAGAACCCTCAGGCCAGAAATTAGGAAACCGTGCCACAAAGGGGCAGCCACGCAGTGGTGCGACTACCCAGGCTGCTACAGTAGTTGTGCTGTTACAACCTGTACACAAGTACGATGGGGATGACGTCCAGTCCCCACTCAAGCCAGGTCCCCAAGCCTCTGCACCCACGGAAGAGGGATGCCTTTCTAACTTATCCACCTGGAGAAGAGCCTTTTGCACTTCATCTGCCCAAAGAGGGCACTCATTTATTTTTTCCCAATTTCCATGAGGCCTTGGTGACAAAAGGAAACCCTTCTGGTGATCTGCAGGACCTGCACCCAGTTAGCTTCCTTCCTTGAAGCTGGTATCAATTAATTATGTGACTCATACGAGCAGATATTTTTGTTAACAGAAAAGTTGAGGAAATCCGAGAAACCACTCTGGGCTGCAGCTCAAAAAAAGGCAAAGGGTTCCACAATAGAAGACAGCCGGTAAGAAACAAACAAACCAAAAGTCTAGAAGCCCTGGGTGACAAATAATGAAGACAAACAGCAAGACTGTTGACTAGGAATTTCAAGGAGAAAACACAAGGCAGAGGTTTAGGAATAATCATAGCCTGGATTTTTAAAAAGTGTCTCCTGCACAAGGAAGGGTTGATCTGACTGTGCCCACAGTGATGAGACTGGAAGCTGGAAGGCAGTAGTATCTGATTCTGGTTGTCAGATCTCAAGATGGACATTGACAAGTTGAAACAAACACCACAGAGTGATCAGGAGGACAAAGGATCTTACTGGGAGGAACTGGGAATATTTTGTCTAACAACACAGAAGCCCATATAGCTTCTCTTAAGTCTGTGTAGGGCCCGCTTGAAGAAGAGGAATCTGAGTTTGTCTGTGTTCCTCTAGAGCCAGGATCAGTGGTGCCCCCTTCCACTGCCGGCTAACTCCATTCTGACCATGCGGTTCACTCTCCTCCTCTTCTCTCTCCTCTACCACATTGTGAATGAAACATTTTGTGTCTATCAGAAATATTTACTACTTTTTACTTGCCTGTGATGCCACTGATTTCATGGGCTCCTAATCTGTTAAGCAGGTGGAATCTCAGAGACTACCTAGTCTCACTTAAAAATTTCATTTTTCACTGTTTCTGTAGAGATTGAATGATGTACTTTTCATTTTTTAAAATGTTCATTTATCACAAAATATACACTTGTTGGTGAATTTCAATAAAAATGTGTATAAAATAAAATGGGGAAAGCGTCCTATTCCTCCCCACTCTCCTCTCAGCCCTGCGCAGTTAGGTCCAACCTCTGTGAAGAACAGTTTTTAACTATTTTATTTTATTTAAAAAATTTATTTATGTAATATTTATATGATATTATATAATATATAAATATATTATAAATTAATATATATTATAAATATATTAATATAATATCTGTATATGAATATAAAATTTAATGTGTTATTCAAATTTAATTTAAATTTAAGATGTTTGAATACTATAACATTTCATAAGATCTTATTTTTTAACCCATCCCGTCCTCATAGACATTGAGGTACTTCTCAATTTTTCATCATTAAACTTAAGGCCACAATGAATACCTTTGTTTTATGTATGTATATAACTTTATACACCTGTGTGAGTATTTCTGTATGAAAAATTCCTGGAGGCTAGAACTGCTGAATAACCAATCAGAATTTTCTTTGTGGGGGAAGAAACTATGGGACCCCTATATAATGACGTACCATAAAGTCACTAAAAAGAAGAGCATCAGAGGAAACCCACAATCCATTAAGAGGAACACATTTGATTGTGATGTATTACAAGAAACAGCCAAGCTGCAGACTAATATGGTAGGCATGACTTCACCACTTTAAAAAAACAAAGTAGTTTGCTAAAAAGCGACACACTTTAAGAACAGAAGCCTGGATGGGCTAAGAGAGCTCTTTCACTGCTTTTCTTATATAATTAGATATACAACACACACATACAGTTTTTCATTGGAGAGATTATGGGAGATTTTTACTTTTCTAAAGTTTTCAAATT